CCCACCTTAGACCACAGCAGATCAGGTCTAAGATCAAAAACGCACTACGTTTAGCTTGTCAAATCTTGGATACATTGACCTACAAAGGCTAAAAACTTTAAAATTATAGTTTACATTTGTGAAAACTTGGAATCATTAGGCAACTTCCGCGTTCGTAATTGGGAATTGTGTTGTAGCGAGCATCACTCCATATTATGCTAGCGTTACGCCCTTGCCACTAATGAATAAAATATACGGCAAATGACAATTAAAGAGTTATCGATGTGCCAAAATCGTTAGCACCACTATTGTGCTGTAAACATATATCTGCTCACGGCATTCGTAAATAACGCCGATAACAAACCTTTTATTTATTAGCTAGCCATATAGCCAATGTTGACCTAAATAACTCACTGACGCAGGCTAACTTCAGAGACTAAACCGAGATCAATCTCACAGTTAAAATATAAACCTTTTATATCCTCAAATTAAGGGGCAGCAGGATAAATGAGAAATAAATCACCAACCTCAGAAAAAATACAGCCGTTGTTAGCCAAAAGAGCTGAGCACACAGGTACCAGGAGCATCCAGCAGGCTGATGATGAGGAACCATCAAACTGTTTTATTTCCTCTTCCCAAACTGACCAATCAGAGCCGAGCTGGGAGATACCATCTAGTCTGGAACATTCCATGTTTTCTACAGGTGATACTTTATGATGATGATGTTTTTTTTCTTCTTTTTGTCAAGGAGGAGATTAATTATTTTAATAGTAACGTGTGTGAGGGTACTGGTAAAAGATGATACAACAAATACAGCGTTCATAAATACAACTCTTGTTTTTAACCTTTGTCCAACCACAAACGCTGTGGTTGATTTGTTTCATAAGGTGGGCAAGCCAATTAGCTACTTGACAAACGTGTGTAAATTGCTCAAAGCAGGAGTTTAGTTGGCTTTTTTTTGCCGTGTGAATATCCAATTGACATACAAACGACATCGTTTCTACTTAATTTTGCCACTCTATGATGACTGCAGATTGGTCATTAACACGTAAGTTGAGAAACTGAACTTTTTATGAAATAGATTTTTTTTTTGGGTGTCTGTTTTTGGCGTCAAAACTCAGTGCAGCCCTGCCATTAGGGTTTGGGCAGGAATACATCTTGGAATACGTGTTAATTTACAGTAAGTTGTAATTTTTTTCTGCTTATACAGGCTGTAATGGCTCCAGTGGTTTTTGCCCGTCGTCTAAACTATAGGCTGTTTATTTGAAGACTTTTTTTAGAAGACTAACTAATTTCATCCCACGCTAACAGTCACTCGGGTTTGCTGTGATTCTTCTTCCCTTTACTTCTACTAATTTACCTGTACCTACTGCACACTAGAAATCCCCATATTGCCCCTGCAGTCACATCGCACACAGCGGAGGGCCTAGCCTAGGAGAGGCTCCTCAGCTCGCCTGCTGGCCACTTCTCATGGTCTCATGGTCTAAATTTAAAAACTGTCGCAGCCTTAAAAAGGTCCTGACGGTGTCTTGTTGCATTCTGCCGAGTGGCAAGCATTATTTTTGTTCTGTGGACTGCCGTCCTGTCCACTGCCCTCACCCTGCTGCTGCTTTGCCTGCGACCCGGACTTGCATTTAGCTACATTTGGAATAGCACAGCGCCTTTTCTTATTTTCAACGGTTTGTGGATTGTCGGATTTCCTACTTGTGGTGAGTGATTGTATATATATATATATATATATATTTTTTTTTATTCATAACAATATCTCTAATAGAATTGTTATTGTAGTTTATGTCATTTGGTCATCTGAAACAGTAAGGCCGGAGGCCTACTTTCAGCAACTTTAATTTTTTTGAATAGTGTTTTTGTAATTCATGCATTTTTATTGTATTTCATACTAACAGGGTGTGCTCATTTTAGCTAGGTTGTAGGTTAGATTGCATGTGTCATTGCAGTGAAATTTTTGTCTTCATTGAAAAAGAGCTAATCATTTCATTTAACATTTGCTTTTACAGTTTATGAGCTTCTCATTGTACAGTCCAGTTTGCAGTTTATAGCTCCTGACAAGTAAATAGGCATACACTCCCTGCAGTGTGTGTTGCTCAATGACATAAGCATCAGAAAATACAGTTTTTAAGTCTGTTGTCATAAACTGCTGATCTTATAATAACCTTATTGATCTTTGGTCACATGGTGATGGGCCTATGCCCAATAGAGGCTGCTCATGTTTTCAAGCTGTCTAATTTGAGCAATAGCTACTAGATTGAAACAGTTTTCATTAATTGGGGTTACAGTTTTGATAATCTATTAACTGCTCTTTAAACATGGATATCTCCCTGTTTTCTAAGACAATAAACTGGAAACTTTTTGGAATCTTGACAAAACAAGCTGTTTGAATATGTCAACAGCAGCTTTTGGATATTCTGATGGACATTTACATTATTTCCTGACATTTTATATGTCAAATGAATAATCAAGAAAATAAAAAACAATTTAATTATTAAAGAGCACAATCATCTTTTGCAGTCTTAGTACCTGTTGAGTGTGTAATCGGCCAAAGCCTGCAAATTAAGAAATTCCCACACAAAACATTTGACCCTTTTTCTTGTGGATCCTCTCATCAGTCATTGGACCACATCCCACCCCATTTTGCTTCCCAGTTCGTCACAAAACCTTTTATATTTCCATCTGTGGAGTTGATTATCATTTAAAAAAGACACAAAATAAAGATGTAGGTTGTTGTAAAAAATGATGCTGCCAGAGCTTATTTTCTACCTGCTTCTACTTTATTTAACACAGTAGAGTTAGATTTTAACCAGAGCTAACGCTTTAACTGCTGACACACTATAAAAATCATAACACCATCTTAACTTTTTTAAGAAAAATTCTTGCTGGTTACCTTTCCTAAAACCTAACCTAACACTTCCTACTCTAAGCTAACCCCCAATTCAGAAATCAATCTTTAATAATAACAATGAGATTGATTTACAGAGCTGTTAAAGTAAAGGACAGGCTGACATTATAAGTTGGCGCAGTGGCCCTCAGGATGTCAGAATCATTACAAGTGACGCTGAAGCAGCAGCAGCAGCAGCAGCATCAGCATCATCATCATCATCATCATCACCATCATCATGAAAAGCATCAACATCAGGAGAAGCAGCAGCATCACTATGAGAGCAGCTATTACCTGAGCAGCAAGTCATCTGTTAGCAAGCAGTCGTTCTCAAGTGCCAAGACTGCCAGCCATCGGTAAGAGGATGGGAGCGATGCAGACGCTGATGGTTGATATTTGAAAACTCTAAAATTAAAATGAGGCTCTCTTGATGTAACTTGCCACTTTCATAACCTAGGAAGTGATGAGTGCGTCCTAGCAGACCTCTTTCAAATATTCAACACTTCAGTCTCCTTTGGGTGTGGTTTGAAGTGTGTTCAGCAGTATAAGAAGAAAAAATTGCAGCTCCATTTTCTTGGAGAGCAGGTGTACTGTCTCTGCTGGCTGTTATCAACCCATAGATGTTCATCTTTTCCTCTCCAAGCTGTTAATTTTACAAAACTCATTTCAACACGAAGGCTGAAAATAATAGAAAATCCAAGCTCTGAGGCAATGTAAGGTCTGCATGAGATCTGAGTGTTTGTGATGTCAAATTGTTAAGAAAGTTGAGTCTCAAGAAAGTGAAATCTCAGATCGGTCAAACCTAGTCAAAGGTGAAGCCCTTGTTTTTGACTTAAGCTGAAATGTAGTCCAACCTCATGTCTACAGCTCTGGGGATATTGTAATATTGGTAAGTATTAGATTCACATAGCTA